TGTAAACTTTTAGCAGGACCTGCATTCAGGTGGGGCAGCTGACTGGAGAAGCAGGGGCCTGGCTACCTGACGTCTATGTCCGTGGGTCAGGCTGAGGCTCAGAACTAAAGAGAAAGCTTTCTGTAAAGAAGAGACGCTCACTGTCTCCAAGACTAAAGACAGCAGATTGGGGCGAAGAGAGATGGGAACCCCAGTGATGCTGGTATCTACCGCAGCTTGGTGAGAGCGGCGCTGAGGCCACGTCTTCCAGGGCTGTACCCACCCAGAGCCAAAAGCGCAGGCCCGGAACCCATTCCCACTTCTGGGACATTGTTCTGTGGCGATGCTCCAGCACATGCAGAAGCGCTCAAACATTCATCAACAGGGGGTGTGGAATAAACCAAGCGCGTCCGTGCCATGGAACATCACGCAGCTGTTACAAGTAAAGCACATCTGTGTGCAGACAGGCAAGATCCACACAGCCCGTCTTAACTAAAAAAGCAAGTTGCAGAAACTTCTATACAATATGACCTACTTTCCACGAAGAAAAAGAAGAAAGTGCGGGAGGGAGGGAGGGAGGGAGAGGTTTGCGTAGACGTAGAGGAAACTATTGGGAACAAGATGATTCACTCTTGATGTTTGCTTCTCAAGCAGTAAGAGCCAGATGGAGGGCGAAATTCAGAGCTTTTTCACCTTCTGGGTAATATCTGCCTATAATATCTGAGGTTTGGTAACTCCTCTGTATAATTTCTCTAACCTGAAAACCTGATAAAAAGCACCATTGAAAAAACGCCATTCTTGCTAAGAAAGGAAGGTGCTTGTTGCCGGTCCCGACATCACCTATTCACTTCCCTTCCTTGCGAATGCAACACATTCCTACCTTAAGCAAATTCTCATGAAGCTCTTTCCACCAGTGGACAGCTGACAACGTACCATCACCTGGCACCTGGGGCTCTCAGAAACTCACAGGAGGCTGGTCCGTCTGCTCATTTCTAAGTCAGCTTCTGGAGAACTTGACCTTTAGCAGTGTGCGGTATTCCTCTTGGAATGAAGCAGTTTGGTTGAACATGGAGCTTACTAGAAATAGATTTTATCTGTCTGTGGCACAAATGCAGTTAGGGGTTAGCTCCCAGAAGGCACACACACATACGTGCACATATGCGAGCACGCATGTGCTCAGCCCTGGCCCTAGTTAGCAGGTTCTCAGGTGCTGTGGAGCTGTGGGGTGGGTGTGTTGGGAGCCGCAGGTGTCCCCCCCCACCCTTGCAGGGCTGCCGGGCGCCCCGCGCATCACCCCCACCGCTGACCGGATGCTGCAAGGAGCACGTCCAAGCAGGCGGCGTAAGTGCCCTGGGGAAGGTGGCTGCTTGCAAAGGCCGCAAGCTGCCACGTGCCCTGCTTCCCACCCCGTATGCCATCCAGGCTCCGCTTTAGACACGGGAAGATTTTCTCCGAATGTCCTCAGTTTGAGATCCTGGGGCCTCAGCATTTGCTGGTCAGGGTCACCCAGCGAACAGACACGAAATGGGTTTTACTCAAGCGGTCACACATGGCGGCTTGAGGACATTCCACACACGTTTACAACATTTTATTTGGTCACCCCCTCCTCTGCTAACAGTGAGTGATATTCACTCTCCCCTCTGCTGTCAGTCAGGCCAGGCCTCCCCGTTCCAGGCCCGCGGCCTTGGCTCCCGGCAGCTGACGGACGTCCAGGTGCACATCTGACTCCCGCGCTCCACCAACGGCCCCGGGCACCCTGGGAGCTGGCTCTTCAGTTGGTCGTGCAGATCTGGTCGCAGCAAATCGTCTGAGCTAGGGAGCCGGGTTGCCGGGGGCTCCGGGTGGACGCTGCCACTCTTTGACCAGGCTCCTCTCACAGGGGGCCTGGGTGCACACCCCAGAGGGACGCTGCAGGGCAACGGCCTCGCGGCGCCCAACCCCCCGTCCCCAGACGTCCGCCCCCCCCCCCCCCCGCGACTGGCCCTGCCTGCCAGGCCCCGCTCCCTGGAGCCAGTCATCCCGATGGCTGGCACTTGCGCTCAGGTCTGTGATGCCTCAGAACGAAGACTCTGTGGCCTCATTGTTAAAGGGGACCAGTATCATAAAGGGGTTGGAGAACCGAGTGCAGCGGCACAGAAAGAAGAGCCTGGATGGTGGTGTGAGCATGACTGTGCCAGGCGGGGCCCACCTGGGCTTGGGGGAGGGTTCCACGGAAGCCCTCAGCGGGCGCCTGTGTGTCCTGCACACAAGGGGCTGCCCTGTGGGACCTGGGGGCTGAGGCCGGCGATGTAGGTCATGCAGAGGAAGGGTGACCACGTCACTCAGGGCCAGCATCCCAGCCCAGGCCTGTGCCCCCTGAGAACAGGCATTGAGATCAGAAAATCCCCCGTTTTCTTCCACAGTCGCTGGACCCAAGTCCTGGGCTACTGCCACCTTGATCTTTCCTGGTCTCTTTGAAAATGGGTCTGTCTGCACGGCCAAACAACATAAAGCACAAAACTACCGAAATGCTGGAGTGTAACAATCGTTAGGTTTAAACCCCGGGCGGTTACAAGGTAAGCCGGTTCCACGGGTGGGATAAGCCAAGCCCGCTCCAGTGGGTCCGAGCTGATTCACCCCAGGCACCCCTGGCTGGGGGCTCGGGCTGCGGTGTGGAGGCACCTCTAGACGACCGAGGTCTCTGTCTGCAGGAAGGACAGGGCGCGGGAGCCGCGGGGGACCTGCAGGGTGCCCTCCGAGCCATTCCTCGAGCCGGACAAGCTGTGCAGCCTGCAGTCCCGGCCGGAGGGCCGGCTGGGGCACAGAGTCGGCCGCCACATCCTCCCCAGCTCGCTCTGCACCTGGCGCGGGGGCGAGAGCAGGCGGGGCTCAGGCGGTGGGCAAGCTGGAACCGAGACCCCAGCTTCCCCCTAGGGCGAATGCCCGTGGATGAACGCTTCCCCTTCGGCCCTTTTCTGGGTGTGGAGGGTGTGATATCCATGGGCGCGGGGCGGGGACAGACGGGCCTGGGAATGAAGAGGCGGAGAAGGATGCGGAACCAGACGAGGGACCAAGAGAAAGGAGGTCAGACTACGGAGCCCAAGGCTTCAATCCAGAGGCAGCGGCCGCTACACCCAGAACCCGAGAGGGCTAATTCGCCTTTTCAGAAAAGACCTCCCGTGGAAGCCGGGGCCCCAGCGCTTTGCCCTACAGTCCTGGTTCTGCTCCCTGGCTCCCGGGGGGCGGGGGTGTCAGGGGGGTCCGGAAAGAACGAGGGGAGGGAGGTGCAGGAGTCGCTCAGACGACACGGGACAGGGAGGCACGGAGCACGCAGCAGACGCCGGCTCGGCCGGGGGAGCGGAGAGGGCTGGACACAGCCGGGGTGGGGCCCGGACGGGGGACCTGGGACGCCCCGGCGCAGGGGGCGGGGCCGGCTGGGAGCCAGGCGTCCCCTGCCCGCCTCCCCGCCGCCCGCGGTCCAGAGCCGGGGTTCTGGGCGCGGAAGGGTCTCCAGGCTGACCCCTCCCCTATCTGAGGACACTCTGCACGGAGGTGCTGCTTAGGGATGGGAAACGTTTACAGAGCAGAGCCGGCGCTTTTCCTCGGCCTGGAGTTTCCTGCTACTCCCGCCGCCGATGCTGGCTGGCGCTCCCGCTTGGCAGCCCCGAAAGAGGCGAGGAAAGCGATGGAGGGAGGGGACCCTGAGGACCGCGCGGGGCGACAAGGAAGACGCGCGAGGCGCCGGGCGAGCCGCTGGAGAGGGAGCCGCCGCCCAGGTGAGACGAGGGTATATGCGGGTCGCGGCAGAGGGAAAGCGGCGGGCGGGCGGGCGGGCCGGGCGCGGCCGCCGGGGGTGTGGGCTGGCCGGGGGCGCGGCCGCCTGGGGGCGCGGCCGCCTGGGGGCGGGGCTTGATGGCGGGGCTGGCCGGGCGCTCGCCTGCGGACAGGCTCTGGGACGCTGCGGGTCGGCGGGGGCGGTCGAGGTGTGCGGGAAGACGGAGCCGAGCGCCGCGGGCGCCGGGCAATGGCACTGACCCCCACAGCAGGGCGGGCCCTCCCCAGGGGTTTCAGGGGCGTTTCAGGGACTCCCTCACAAGCCGAGAACCTGTGCTTCCCGAGGAGGTCAAAGGACTTACTTCACTGTTCAGAAAGCAGTAGAGGACCGCCACCACCAGGCCCTGCAAGCAAGCGAGAAGGGCGGTGGGTCAGAGCTCACTCACACCCTCCCCTCCCCGGGACGCCCAGCCCCTTCCCACGCACCTGGAAGGATCCGATGCACAGTTCGAAGAGTATCTGGTACTTGGAGGAGATGCCGATGGGAAACACGGCGAACAGCATGTAGTGGACTCCAAAGAGAGGGATGAGCAGCAGGGTGGACTTCGTGAGCCTCCTGCACCACAGGGGGGGGGGCCCGAGCTCCCGAGGTGACCCGACGGCCGCCTGCTGGCCAGCCCAGGGGCCCCTTAGCTTTGACACCACCCCACCCCGTAGGGACTGAGTGTGCAAACGCGATGATGGCCACCACTTTGCCTCATAAAGCAGCAAAGCTCTTCCAAGAAATCCTGACGAGTTTGCCAAGGATGACATTGCTTTGAGCGGGTCTGACGGCCCCGTGTGCCACTGGCTTTAATAGCCGAGACCCATCCCCAGCCTTTGGAGGATGGGGGCAAGTTTTACTTTCAGATCAAAAGAGCAGACGCAGCAGGGGTGGCCCCCTGAGCACAAGCGTGACAGAAAGTGTTCCCACAGACGGCTGTTTATAGGTCCTGGCAGGCGACCCTGCTCTGGATCGCACAGAGTCTGAGGAATCGGGGAATCTGGACCAGATCTAATTTCTCTGCCTTTCAAAGAGCTCTTACCCTCCCTAATCAAAGAGCAGATTTTCTTCTCACTGCATTGGTGTTGAAAATAAAATACCTGACCTCAATCCTCCCCC